GAAGATGGAAGTAAAAGAGATATGCAAAATAAAGATAATCCTAAAATTTAAGGTGACTAATTGAGAGAATTTTTAGGGAGTTGAGCATGAAGAGATTAAGTTGTTTGGAAATTTGATAAATGAAATGCCCTATTCTATGAGATGACCCACACGATACAATTTATAAAGGTATTCTTTTGGCACATCCTGCTCTGTGCTTAGATCTTGTCCTGTCAGTAGCTATCCTTTCTGCTTTTTGCTTAATTTTCTCACATTAAAAATTACTGTATTCCTGTCGAGAATATTCCCATTCAAGTTGAGATGTGAAAGATCATCCACCTCCATTCAGGAAGTTGTCGGATAGACTTCTGAGGTGGAGAGAAAAGTTGGAACAAGGTGGACTTGATCTTATTCTCCTGGCAAGGGTCCTGGGAGTGTGAATGTGAGAGCATGCTGCCTGTGAAGGAACGGCATGCACAGAGCATGGGAGGGTCTTCATATAGGTGCATGGATTGAGGCAGAAGAGTGAAAATGGGGAGGAAAGAGGTAAAACAAACAAAACAAGGAGAGTGCCTAGGGAACTGCAAGGACTAGATATCAGCCAACAGTGTTGAATGATAATGACTTTAAAAAAATCATCAGAAGAGGACTGGAGGAGTGGGTCAAGTGGTACAGTGCCTGCCTAGCAAGTGTGAAGCCCTCAGTTCAAACTCTAGTTCTGTTCCCCCCTGCCAAAAAAAAAAAACCCACCAAAATCCAAACAAAAACCAAACAAACAAATCCAGGAGCAAATAAAACAAGGAAGGGTACTCCTGGAGCCTCTCCTTTGGTACAATTCACTGTCACTTCTGTTTTGTGCCCTCTGTTGCTTTGAAGACCAGCACACCCAGGGCAGGCTTTGATCTGAATACAGAATTGAATGCAAGATCTTTTTATGGTCAGTGCCCAGTGTTTACTTTAGAGATAATTTATTGTTTCTACTAAAAAGAGGCACATGCTACTATGGAAGGACAGTACTTGGAAGAAGACAAGCAATAGTTTGATGTTATTTATTGTTTAATGAACTTCTACTGTGTCCATGGAGGAAATATTGGTCATGGCAAAGGAGGAGATTTATCAGGGAAATGAGAAATTGCCTGGATACTGGGCTAACCATTCTTGTAGTCAGTTTGATTTCTTCTATTTTTCTTACTCATTAATGAATCATTGTGTAGTTCCTGTTCTCAGCTAGAGAATAGCTCAAATAGCATGAAATCTTGTTTACTAGATGCTGCACAGAAGGGGATCTTTTTCTCGAGTGTTCATTGGTTCCCTCATTTAATTCAGTTGCTGTGAATTTGTTAAGTGTTTTTAGGACACTTTCGGTCAGTGGGATAGAAGCTTGCGTCAACCCATTAGTAAGTGTGATATATAAAGGCCATACGCAAAAACAATGTGACTTGGTATAGCCCTTCTGTACTTACTTGGCATCAGCTTAGAATATTTGCTCACATTCAGTAAGACATAAGCATGGTAGGAAATTACTTTTTTATACTATGGTTAGAAGCAGTTGTAAGAGCTATAAAATGCTTGTGAGATAGATTTGGTTGGCAATATTGAAAGGTAATTAAAATTTTTATTAACATATATTCTAGAAAATACTGGGTTTCATTATGACATTTTCATACTTGTATATAGTCTGCTTTATTATATTCCCCTGTGTTTTCTCTCTTGGCCCCCAAACCACTGGTCCCCCGAAAGAGATAATTAAATTGTGAAATTTGATACTAGTGTGTATGTATGTGTGTGTATTACATTGAAGTTCTGAATGGCCTCTTAGAAGGTGACAGTTATTGATAATTAAATGGAAAATGGAGTGTGGTATACAGTGATCTAGTACTCATTCCACTAATGCCTCTAGAACACAGTGGATATGGTGCTCTCCTGGTTCTCAGGGTCAGGAGTGTACCTGACAACCCTATCTGCTTTAAGTCAAGCTGTGAAAGAATTGTGCATCGGAAGTGATATGCAATTTTTGACATTCGTGAAGTTCTGCATGTTACTTGTGGTTTGTAATATTCTCACTGTGTTTCCTCACACTTTAAAAATACTCTTTATCATGGATTCTCTAGCTTGAATGTTTTTAAAAACATAGATTATATTACCAGTGAGTATTAAAATGCAAGAAATGTCCACCTTGTATGAAAAACTAGCACTAAGACAAATCATTTAACTCAGTCATATTGATGGTTGAATGTTCCACTTTTGCCCTTCACTGGAGAAAAGAAGCAGTCACTGCCTTGTGTTTTGTCACTATCTGAAGTAGCTGTTGTTCTTCACCAAGCCTTGTGTCTTTCTGAATCTGCATTTACTTCATTTATGATCTGGCTTGCTGCTGCTTTTAGTTTTTCTATCACTGGTAACTTCCTTGGCCTTGCCCTTTCGTGATCTTGTATATGTAATGGATTTAACTTGTCACTGTATGCTGTTCTGCAGAGACCATTGACACCTTTGACTTTTGACTAAAACTGTTGTTGATCTAGACATGTATTCCTTTTTTCACTATCCTCCAAAGGGTCCCCTAGGTTTGTGGAAGGAATGATTTACTATGTCATGGTATTCCAAGTGCAGATTCTGTAGAAGGAAGGTTTAAATGAGCATTTTGGCTAATAGGTCATCAAGTATAACATAAAGAGGACAATGCCCATAAACATCATTTGTGAGCATTGTTTATCAGTTTTCTAGGTTTGTTTTCCTGAATAGGCTGCACATTAGCATTTTATTTTTATTATTGTTGTACTGGGAGTATATCGTGACATTTACAAAATTTCTTACAATTTATCATAGTTGAATTCACCACCGCTATCATTCTCCTTTATACCCTCTCCATCCTTAAGCAATTTTTTGTTTTTGTCACTATTGGAGTTTGAATTCAGGGCCTCATGCTTGCTACTCTGCTAGCCCAGTATTTTCAATGAAAGATATTTTATTAAAAAGTATGCATGGGTTTAGACTTAACTTTAAATCTTAATTATGAGACATATCATTTCTACTTTGATCTCTTTCCACCTTCCCTTCCTCCTTCCTCCTTCCTCTGTCTTTTTAGGTGAACAGACTTTTTGATGAATTATTTTCTGGAGAGTCTTTCTTTGCCTGTCTCTTTTTTTCATACCTAGAAGACAAAAGCAAATGTTGCTACTTTTTATGCACAGTGTAAATCCCCAATACTTAATAAAAGTGTTTAAAGTATCACTGCACTTATTTTGGGTATTGGTTTAGCAATTTATGCAAAAATTGAAAACTGGAAATTAAATATTTTAAAATCAGTCTAAGTAGAACTATATAAAAATTAAATTTGCCCAAAAGAGGGCTACTCCACAGAGTTATAAGTTGCCTTTAATTGTGAGAGGTGTTGCCTTGTTGGTATAACTCAGAGGAGACATTCATTGAGCTGGGCTAGGTGAATAAAATCCCATCTGGTTCTATGATCTGATCATTCTGTAGGTTGACCAATTCATGAATATTTTTATGTACATTTATGACATTTCATTAAAGTCAAACAAAATGGTCCACTTACTTTTAGTAAGTGAAAAATACCAATTCCTTTCTCATTTCTTGGAATGAATTTCTAAGCCTTTTGAGGTTAAACTCACTTAATGAATTGCAAACAGGTTTTCAATTACTAATTAGGTAGAGCAATAAAGTCAGAAAACTTTAATTTCGACTGTACCTATTTTGGGAAGATAAGTGTACTAAGCACTGCTAATTCATTTTCCAGGTCTTTTATTTTATCCTTAATGGGTATTACTAGACAGCCTTTTCTCCTAATGGTCATAGCTTATTGTACATATGCAGAAAGATGGCAAAATTATGGAGGTGCAACCATCAAACTCTGTGTGTTCACTTCTCTCCACCTGTTTTAAAGTCACATGCGCATGTGAGTGTGTGTATTATTTATTTATTTCATTATTTATTTAAAATCTAAGTGTTTCCATGATGTTACATTTTTTAACCTATTCAATATTTACAGAGTAATTTCAAAATACACTGAATAATTAAATGTCTTATCAGTTTAATTTTCTGTTACGTTGTTATTTAGGTCAATTTAAGCATCAAAATAGTTCCAATTGTAGACAAATTTTAGTATACTTTGATTTAAAATTAGTAGTTACACACAGGCTTATGGTTCTGTTCCACAAATGTTTAACTCAACTTACTGTCAGCTATTAACTAACTAGTCACAGAGACTAGTTTTTGTCTGTAGCTTTTTCTATGAGATATAGTAAGCTAGGTAATTTAAAGTCACCTAATGTAGTTTTAAATTACTGTATTAGAAAGGTGCTTTATCCACTTCATTAGCTTATAGAAAAATTTGAAATGCTGCAATAATTGTAAATTACAATATGTAATAAATGCTTAAACCTTTCTATACTAAGTACTCTTAACAAATTGAAACATTTTAGCAACATTAAATCATTCATTGAGTACATATTGCCAGAAACTTAATGTTATGCTTCATTTTTTATTGTAATATTTTTTCTTAAATAACCTGTAATTTTAAAAAGTGTTATCATTCCTTTTTCTCTGTCTCCCATCATTAGATTTAGAAAAGCACTAAAATGTAGAAAACCTGGATGTTGTGTTTAGAGTTTTCTATTTCTGTTGAGGAAGTATCAGTCTGAATAGTATCTCTTTTCAGTGAGTCCTGTGCAGTGATCGTAGCATTTCCAGAGTCTTGTGATATGTGAATGTCTTTTGTCATCCACAATCATGTTAATACTTGGGAGCCTGCACTATTGGAACTGAACTATGCTTCTTTGCTGCAGGTCAGCTTTCATGGACAATTAGTGTCCTAACAGGACTTCGGTCGCAAGTTGTCCCAAGTATTTACTGTAAAGACATTATCCTGTAGCTGAGCAGCCGTGCTGCCTTGGCCTCATCTCCTGTGAAGCGTTCCATGTTAGCTTTTCCTTTGAGACAAGTTGAGCAACTGCTCCATGTTCCATGCCTGGAATCTTTATATTTTGGTGAGAAGCCTTAGGCCCTTCAGATTTCCTGGGTTTTTTTTTTTTTTCTCTTTTTGCTCATCTTGTTTGCTCTTGTCCCCTCTTGGTAACTGTCAAAGAACCACATTGGGTTATTCTTCTGACAGGAATGAAAAGAATTATCTTCCTGCTGTTTGGCTCTGTGTCAGTATCGACAAGTTGTACGTGTTTGACACTCTATGAGGTGACTGGTTCCAGCAGTATGCAGAAATAAACCAATAAATCTTCCATGTCACTCTACTCATTGCTACTTGATTGCTCCTTTTACTCTGCATATCACCATGGAAACAAACATTTCTAAACAAGGTTTTCCCCAAAACCATACAATTATACAGGCCCTTGAAAATGTAAACCACTGTACCACAATTAGCCTTCTAAGATTGTCAAGTAATACCTGCAAAAACTATTTTCGGACATTTCAGTTTTATTGTATCACTCTTTGTCTTTTCGTTTTGGAAAGTTATTTCTATTCATGGTCACAGAATTCTTTTTTCTTTTTCTCTCTTTTTTTGTGACAGCATCTTCCTGTGTAGCCCCAGGTGTCCTTAACTTTGTGGTACTCCTGCCTCAGCCTCCCAAGTGCTGAGGATACAGGTATGTGCCACCACACCTGGAAGTTGCAGATACTATAATAAAAATAATATCTTTATTGTAATAGTTTTCTTTTCCATAGGTACATAATCTTTCATAGATTTTTTAATTTGAAGAATTATTGCAATTCATTGTCATCAACAATGATACTTTCATGTAACAGGAAATAAAGAACCTGAATGGCCTTACCTGATACATGAATGTATGCCTATTTTTGTTTGTGTTTATAATTTTGGTTTTAATTCCTTATCTTTTGTGAAGAGAAAAAAAGTGATGCACTTATATGTTTATCTAATATTATGTGTATTTGATTTACTTTATAATATGCCTCGAAATAAGTTTTATTTAAAATCAGTAATTCTCAATAGGCAGAAATTTTAGCTTGTAAAAGATCCCAGGTTATATCAATAAGGAAAATGTGAGTTTTGGGATCCCTAGATGACATGTACAAACAGGGTTGGGATTTATTTTCACTGTTTCTGAGTTCAAGAATGTCAGGGAAATTACTCATCTCAATATTATTATTTTCTTTATTTGATAGTTTCTAATGTATAACAAACAAGATTTCTTTCTGGTATAGTAATGCTTTTCTGTCTGTTAAAACTATGGGTTACTTCCCTAGTGCCAAATATTTAATACTTTAAGAAGTGAAGATTGACTACATTGTCTTCTATAGCCAGATAGAGTGATAGAACATTGTTTGATATTAAACTAATATTTTTCTTTAGCACCTAGCAGTGGGAAAGGTCTGTTTCTTTAGTCCCTTTTTTTTTTTTAATACTTTTAAAAGAACCAAATGAAGGAAATACTGTAGTTTAAATCTAATTTTCTGGTGTTGGGATATCCTTTAATTTAAATTGGTATTTGATTTTGATCCTCCTATTTAAAATTCCAAGGCTTTATGTTGTGTGATATGTGTGGAATATTTTCTAAGACTTACTATGTTTTTGTTCCACAGCTATTAGCTAATACAATTAAGGTCAGCAAGTGGGCCTCATTTTAATTTAGCAAATATACTAGTTTTAAATGGATATGTGCTAAAGAAAGAGACAATTCATTTCACTTGTGAGAAGTGTAAGCCGTGATAAATGATTTTCCTTTACAAAATTCCCCATCTCTGAGGCAGTATTAGTTTTTACTTTAATTACCGGCTGCCGTAATGTTTCCTATCCATAACTGTCTGCAGAATAGACTGTTTCTGAGCAGAGGGTATGGCCTGTTTACTCAACCGTTGAGAAGAGGGCCCAAGTTCTACCAAGTCTGAACTGCTGCACAGGAGAGTGTCCTTCATTTAAATATTTAAATATTAATGTTTAATTGTATAGGCAGAAAACTTCAATGTCATTTTAAGGATATGCAACTTTGCCAGAGAGCCTTTGTCTGTTGCCAACTTTGGAGTTTTGCCTTGAATCTTAACATGTTTGGGAGGGATGCAGCCTTGCAGCCATATTGGAAGTTTGCTTATACCCATCTTTTCCTTTGTTTTTTTTTCCTCCCACATTTAAAAAATAATAACAGAAAAGTTGTTGTCAGTGGTGGCTCTCTCAAAAATGGCTTAATTGACAGTAGCTGAAAATGACCAGAATGACACTAACAACTAATTGATTACAATAATTACGCAGTCTTTGGCTAGTTTGTATTGGCAAACTCTATGTAGTCCTGGAATAAATGTGAACTTGCAGAATGCAAGGAAAAGGTCATTCTCATTTGCATGATAGGCTTCATTAGAATATGCTAAAGACAAGACCTAGTGTTTTGTGACTTCAGGTGATGAATGGCTACCATATTACGGTGCTACATGAAAGCATGTTTCAGTCACTTAATTTACATGCTTTCTTTTTAATTTCCAGAAAAATCTTTTAGGTTACAGCAATAAGAAGCTGACTTATTGTGCTTTGTACTGAATTATTTGCAGAATGTGTTTTTTTGAAATGCCAAAATCTTTTAGGAAGTACTTTGAAGGATATTTCTAAAGGTGGGAGTAGAATAATTATAAAGCATTTCTATAGTAGATGTTTTAGTGTTACAACTTTTGTTATTCATTAAAGAAAATGGTTTTTCAGTGTTGTTTGAATAAAATATAGGTTATTCATTGTAGCTGTAATTTTAGATTTTAGCTTATAGTCTTCAGTGTTCTACAGACTTATGACCCAGTAGTGCCTTATGGCATCCTTGAATGCATTGATTTTCACTTTAATATAATGCAGTTTTATCACTTCATTAGATTTCCCCTTAACATTTATGCTTAATTCGTACTGTTTCTGTACTGAGGATTATTTAAACATATGAAGTGGAGGTATAGTTGGTACATGATGTCTGTTTTTTGCTTAAAACCTGCACACACAGGATTCCCTTCCCCAGTCCCTCTTGTTTTGAGACAAGGTCTTGGCCTTGAAGTGATTCTCCTGCCTCAGCCTCCCAAATACTGGGATTACAGGCATGTTTTACCACAACCTGCTGTCAGTGGTTTTCATGACATTTGTTTAGGGTAGAACTTGTACTGTTACATGAAAACAAAAGAACAATTCTCTGCATTCTATCTTAATGCATATTTTTAAGTTGAGAGTTATGTTTCCTATTATATAAATGTCCTCATTTATTTTCTGTGATCATATAGCAATGGCTCCCATTAGTTGTCATTACCCTTGCATTCTCATTATGAGAGAGAAATAGTCCTGGCTCCTAAAAGTGTCTTTATGAGAAGTATCCACTCCTAATTAGCAGTTACTATAAACTGTTGGAACATAGGGTTAACACTTCTTATATATGTTGCTATTGTAAAGTTTCTTCATCTTTGAGATGGCATTCTTCCTAGTAAAAACCATGTTGAGAATGAAAACGTGGGCAGTTTTTTTTCCTCTTATCAAATGTGGTTTTGTAGTAAAATCATACAATGAGCTTGCACAAGCTTTTTAAAATATCATCTCTGCCACTGAATAGGGCTATAATTTATTTATTCAGGAATGTTGGAGGCATTTTTGATTTATTTGTTTTTAGAGAAGTTTTGCTGAGGGAGATAATGAGCAGAGCTAGTGTTAATCATTTACTGTGCAACTCTAAAGAATAAAAATTGTGCATATCTTTAGCACTGTTGGGGAAAGTAAATTCACTCAATGCTAATGGTCTATCTGTGTAATTTTGAAAAATAGTGTCTTGCTCTGGAGAAATGTAATACACTGTGGTTTACTAAATTGCAAAGTAATCAATACAAAATTAGAAATGTGTATGTACACATGTATTAAGTAATCATGATTATTATCTGTGAAGATGAATAATTAATTTGTTATTGTTCAACACCATAGGCTACTACCGTACTTTCTCTTATTTACCTTTAGGAATATATTTAACGAAGAGCCACAGGTGTGCACATGCCTGCTTGCATACCACAGAGACATGTACATGTACATCTTTAGGAACATGTTTTGAAAGTATCAGAGATTGTTTTTTATTATATGATAGTTTTGTTGTAACATTGACTTTTAACTTACTGGGTAGATGGTACATTTTTTAGATTTTTAAGGATCCTATTAAAATTAACTGTAGGTATTAATAATATTAATTATTCATGACAGAGCAACTTCTATTTTTGTTATATTTGAGAGCATTTATTTAAAGGTGTGTAAAGCACAATGACAATTACTTCAGATCTCTGAATATGTTTTATATTGAATTTATGACAGTTTGCTGTATTAACTTAAAAGTCAGTTGAATTTATGAAGATAAGAGTTTTAATAGTGAACCTTGAGGATGGATTAAAAAAACCTGATTCTGGTGATAGCATATAAGAATATGAGAGCTTTTTGCTTTTTTTTTTTTTTCTCCTCCCTTTCCAATTAAGAAGGAAAATTTAGGCATGATTTGCCTGTTGCTTCTTTTTATACAGACAGAACAGCATAGAATTCATCCTGACTGTGCCGGAGGATGGATACCGGAATTTCTGAGCCCATTTTTGAATGTATCATAGAAACCATAAAATTCTTTAAAGACATTTGGAAAGATATATGAGCTTTACTGAAGTAGTGAAAATACATGAACTGTTTAATGTAAAGAATATATTCTTGAAAATATTTGGTATCTTGAGTTACTTATTCAAATAATTGCATTCAGCTTTTTATGTTAGGACGTTTAGTAACTTACTTTAGGATGACATCATTCTTTGTAAGTTTGCAATGTGGCAGGTGGCTCATTGTACTTTCTTAGATTTAAGGCAGTCCAAATCATAATCCAATGTGATTTTTTTTAGCATACTATTTTGCCCTGGTGTCCTAACGACATTTGGTGTGTTTCAGTGAGATTAGCAGAAAAATAACCTTATTCACTGTTACATTTTTATATCTCAGTGCTTGTAGTTACTTGCTTTGCATTTTTTAGTGCCAATACATTTTTTCCTTGCCATAATATGTATGTCTTCCCTGATTAATAGTTCCTCTTGCCCCAAGAATTTATTTCCTCAAAGCTGTGGTATATGTCAGATGATTATTTTCAATATTAAAATTTGGAGAAATCGAGCAGGGAATGCTCACAGTATTCACTTTTTCATGATTATTAATGTCTCCTCCAGAGGTGGTAATGGGACAGCAGGAGGAGGAGTGGGCACCTTGCTTTCTTTTGCTCCAGTTCCTGGAGGATAAAGTGCTAAGAATGGTGCATTGAGTTCCATGCTTCTGTAGCTAGCTAGCAACTGAATGGTCACTGTCATTGACACCAGTGCTTACCTTTCAGGGATGCTCTGACATTTGGGCTGCACTTCCTTCACTTCTTTTAAAGCCAAAGCCTAGTGTAACCTTGAGAACATGCTTTTGATCGCCCTTTTCAAAGCTGGGCTCTTCAGTTTCTAGAAGAGAGTACATGGTTGTGAAAACATTCACTGAACTCCAGAAATTCACTGTGGTATAGTACTAGCAGCAACTATAGAAATTTATAACATAGTCCAACATGTGTTACTTTTTTAGATTAAGAAACTTACACGTGGGACTGGGATGTAGCTCGGTGGCACAGCGCTTGCCTAGCATGCGCGAGACCCTGGGTTCGATCCCAGCACCAAAAAAAAAAAAAAGACAAAAAGAAACTTACATGTTCATGTAAAAAATTAAAAAAATATAGAATGAAATGACTTAGGAAAACCACTTTTATAGTGTTCTGAGCATTGAAGTAAAGGCAGCTTTTGCATATGAAATATATATGACCAAGCCCTCAACTAAAACTTTTTTTATTATACTTTTTCTTTATAGAGCTTCAGTTTAGAATATACCAAGTCAGTCTTCTGGGAAAATATTAAGTATGCTTTATTAATTTTCTGTAGCACTGTTCTTCATTACCACATAGGGACTTGGCCCTCTGTGTGTATCAGTTCCACATTCGTGGATTCAATTGACTGGGGACTGAACATATTTGGGGAAGACTTGTATTTGTACTGAACATATGATAACTCTCTTTTGTAATTATTCCCAACACAAGTAGAATTTTAAGACTACTTACATTCTTGTAGCTATGGTAAGTAATCTAGAGGTGACACACTATGTTGAACAAGATGAGTGTTAGTGGGATGGGTCACCACTCTGGTCCCTGTCACTCCCTTCCAGTGAAAGCCCAGCTGGATGTTAAACTTACTTACCTGATGCTGTAGGCTTGCAAGTGAGAACCTGGAATGAAGTGGAGTTTTCAGAGGGAAAGAAATCGGGTCATTCTTCCTGGAATTCTGCATCAAGTGTAAAGATGAGACAGTAACTGGAAGAAATATTGTAAATTAATGTTATGGAATAATTCTTTATGTAGTAACATCTTTAGCTTTTTACCAAGTTTGGGCATCAAACCCTTGTCTTTTATTCTTCACCTTTCCTTGCTTTACTGTTGTTTTAGTAGAAAGAAAGTTATAAGACAAGAAGTGAAAATATTCCCAGAGAATATGATTGTGATGAAAGAACCTACCCCTTTCTCCCTTGCAGTGCTGGGGATGGAACCTAGGGCCGGCATGCTATAAAAGTCTAGCTGTCAAAAATGGACTAGTATGTAAGGGGATTCTAACTTTCCCTCACTAACTATAACATTTAAGAGGAGTGTAAAAAGTATAAAAAGACAAGTTCTGAAAGAATTTGAACATTTGTCCTCAAAAGTCCAGTGAGTTATAACCCTAGCTACTTGGCAAATAGAGCTGTAGAGGATGGCAATTTGAGTCCAGCATAAACAAAAATTGTGAACCCTCTACAGCATCTCAGCAAGCCAGTTGTGGTTGTTACCCCTGTAATCCAAGCTATGCAGGAGGCTTAGGAAGGATGATTGCAGTTTGAGGCTGGCTGGGCCCAAAGCTTGAGACCTATCTGAAAATTAGCTAAAGCCAAAAGGGTTGGGGGCTTGCTGCCTGGCAAGCACAAGACCCCAAGTTCAAACCTCAGTGCCATCCAAAAGAAAAACAAAGTTCAGTGAAAAATAATTTGAAGAAAGATGAGACCAGTAACTTAATGAGGTTGAGAAGGGAAATTGCTGAATTCAACTACTTTTTTCTCTAAAACTTGCAATTTTATTTGGCTCAAACTAGTATTTTCAGAAATAGTCTGAGTCATGCCTTTTTTTAGCTCTTAAGTTTTTTTAAATTTAGTATTCTTTGGGATTTATTTTAGTTAAAATGAAAGCACAACAGTAAAATGCTTATCTTTTTTGTAAACTAGATCTTAATAGTTTAGAAAGAGTTGTAGACTATTTCTTTTTTAGAAATTCATTCTTTGGTTTTTTGCTTAGTTGTGGAATGTAGCTCCAGTATCTCATATTATTTATCTGCTCAAGTTTCTTCACTAAGACAACTACCTGAAAGCAGAACAGCTTCATTCCTGTTGTCAAGGCATCTTGCTTTCTACCTCATCAGTGCTGTGGTTTTCATAAGAAACAGCATTGTTCCCTAGGACACAGCAGGTCTTCAGCCTGTCTGTCTGACTTTAGAGCAGCAATAGGTATTGAGGCCTGGTAGGATTCTTTCTAAAAACAGCACTGTAAATAGGTGACACCACAGTGAACAGAGCAGCAAGAGTGGGCAGGTAGAAGAGCATGGGTTCCTGAGTTGTCAGGAGGGAGAGCTTGATAGTGGGATGCTGAATGTGTAGTGCATTTGGGGTAATGGAGGTTGCCTTCAGATTGGATGCTTGGCCAATGAGCTATAGTGGTGGTTCATCCACTAGGTTGGGGGGTCCAGACAAGGGCGCAGTATGGGAGAGAAGGTGGCACATTTTCTTTATTGTACTGAATTAAAAATGATCATTCAAAACATACAGTAGCACCATTTTTTTCTTTCTGTTTGATACTCAACTGGTAAGGGAATGAATGTGGTTAGTCAGGATCTATCCTTTCTTGTCAGGTTGTGTGTGTTTGTACATAAGATATTTCATTTTTTGCTTGATGTTTTGGTTCTTTAGTTGTAATATAATACGATAATATCTAAATATCATGTTTATAAATAGGAAATTGTCTGAGTTAAATTACAAAATCAGATAAGGACTGTTGTAGGGTTCTAATTTGAAGTATATAATATTCCTTTTTAGGATTGGTAGTGATGAAATCCTAATGAGTTGTCACTGTACTAAGTGAAGCTCTGAAGCTCCCTAATTGGTGTTCATACAGGTATTTTTAATGGAAATAATCTCTTGAAATCTAAAATGTTGTGAAAGAAGTTTCCCTACATTACTTCTGCCTCTGTTTGGAACATTGTGTTTTCTTAGCTGTTTGTATATACTGTCTATTGTTTTTAAAATGTTGATATTTTGTGATTTTACTATGTGCTTTCAGCTGTTATGGCAAACACATTTTTTTATGTTTCACATTTTTTCAAACTGTGATATGTTTTACAGTTAATTGGTACTTAATTTGGTGGTTCTTTTTAACATGTGGAATGCTGTTATTCAATCAGTAGAGTATCTCAGAATTGATGTTCTCACAAAATCAAATAAATGCTGACTATTAAATATTATGCACTATAGAAGACTTTTATTGTTGTCTTGGGCCCTTTTGACTAGTTAACTCCAACATTGACTCTGATTTCTTACTGTACAGTTTTGCTTTAACCTCAGCTGGAAACACTTATTTTCCTATCCTTCAGGCAGTAAATAAACTCTGAAAATTTATTAATGAACCTATTATCCCCTTCAGAAATATTCTCTTCCTCTGTTTCATGCTTAGTGAAATGATCCCCACTTGTTTGGCCTTCGTTTCTCTAAGTAAGTGGGGAGCTCCTGTGGGGTTCGGATCTGCTCCTTGGTCTTTATGTATCCAGTGCTAGCATCAGGAAGTGGTCCATCTGGGTACCAAAGTGGGCTGGTGGTTAGACTCATGACCTCTGATCTGACCCGTGGCCAAAGTCAGTTTTTGGGATGACCTGGAATTTCTGTGGATGTGTATAGAACTGTACTTCCATTGTCACTACTGTAAGTTTTGGTATCTAGTATAGATATCTTTGTTACTTTTTTAAGCAGCATGAGAATGGTGGGATTATTAAGAATAATTTACATGCATTTATTACTTTCTTAGATTATTAAATTGAGATCTCCATTATATAATACGTGCAAATTACTGAAAAAATAAATAACAATTTGAGCATAATCTCACAATTCTGTAGTAATCACAATGAACTTTCAGATTTTATGTACATAATTTACTTTTTGTACATTTTTTATATGGCATGAAGTAGAAAAGTTATTTCTTCTAAATTGTGAAATGTTTCTCTTTAGTCATTTTAATGAAAATTTTGTATGTTGATATTTTTATTGCAGGTTTAACTTACCTTTAAGGTTTTTTTCAGTTTATTTTGGTCTGAGTATTAGGTTTAAATTAAGATCTTTTAAATTCAGTCTGTCATGAAGAGAAAAGTTTGTGTTTGGCTAGTTTTTCTTTCCTTAACACTAGATATGCTTAATTATAAATTTAAAAAGACCTGCATATTGTGATATTTTTTGACTACATGTGTTAAAGGAAAATAACTATAATTTCTCTATCAGAAAAATATAGTAATAAGAATTCTTAGAATTACTGGTGGAATTACAAAAGCATATCTAAGTGAAGTTCTGTGATAGTGTGTTTATTCCTAATTCAAGAATTCATTGAATTTAATGTTTTTCTTTACTCTGTGATGATTTGCAATGTTTTGATTTTGCTAGTACACAGTAGCAAATGAAAATTTGATGTTAATTTTTCCTCTTTTGAAAGAATTCCATTTTTTGTGTATATCCATTACTTCTAATCTAATAATTGAAACAAAAGTTAAATATCCCAAATGACCAGTGTCAAAAGACCTAACTAGTTAGGTGTGGTAACAAGTTAGATTTTGTGGCATTACCACAACTAAGGCTGCATATCCAAAGGTACCATCATGTAACTTCATTACTATTTCTATGTCAAGGCGTATGCCATTGGAATTAATTAATTAACTTAGTTTCAGTTATTGTTTGGATATTGTCTCAGACCGTGATTTTCCTACTTACACCTGGTATTAGAGGTGTGCCTACCACGTCCCGCTTTCTTGTTGTTGTGGGTGCCCAGTAACTTTTTGGTGTTCTAGCCTTAGAGTGTGATTACCCTGAGAAGCTGGGATTCCAGGTGTGAGCCCCTGTGATTTGCTGTTCTGAGTTTTTTCTCTTTATTCATATATTCATAT